TTAACTCAGGGACTGCCTGTAATCATAGGAGATTAGGCTAGATAAATCTCTTCCGGTACAGCAGCTTGAATCCAATTGGTTTCGGGGGGGGGGGGACTTAAGGGATGAGCAGGCTTCATATTACATGAAGTGCTTAGATCTTGGTTTGTTTGTTTTTAAATTAAAATACAGAGATCCATCAGCCTGCAGCCTTCCAGTTTGGGGTCAGGGTGGAATGTTCTGAATTTTGAAAGTGTGTTGTGGGCATTTTCCTCAAATGGGTGCCACTGGGGGGGGTGCAAAAACCACTAGAGCAGCCTCCCAGCGAGATAGGCAACAAATAAGTTTAACAAATAAATACAGTGGTACCTCAGTACTTGTCATTAATTGGTTCCAGAAGGTATGATGAGTACTAAAAACAACAAGTACCAAACAAATCACATGACTAATGCATCACTCTTTGTTTCAGCTGGTAAGGGTAGCAGGTCACAAGGCAGCCAACACTGACAAGTTTTGTGCATCGTACCAAACAAACAATGAATACCTGGACAAAATTTTCACATCAAAATGCATTGAGTACCAAATTTGACAAATTTCAAAGCAGTTGAGTACTGAGGTATGACTGTAAATAACATGGCTGCCTCGGGGGTGGGTGGGTGGGTGGGAGGTGTGGCCACTTCCTAAACCTCTACTAGAGGCATGTCAAACTACCGGCCCGCGGGCCAGATGCATCACGCTGAAATCGCGCCCATCCCATTGCCGGCAATGGGAAAAGACGCAATACATCACACAATGTCACATGACATCACGAGTTTGACATGCCTGCTCTACTAGAAAGCAGATTGCTGAGATGCCTTTAATCCCCTTATAGTCCACATTTAGGAATGGGAAATTTTTTTTAATGAAAGATGTGGACTTTGTAGAGTGCCAAAGGCAAACCGAGTCCTGTTTTGTTTTTACTTGGATTTTGGAAGGGAATTTGGAGAGTGGGTAGGTTGTCTTTGTTTTCTACATTGTGTTAAGTCTATTTTACAACTTGTCTTATTTTTGTGTGTATATTTCCCACCCCAAAATGACAAGAATCTATGCCACCAAAGGTTGGCAATGATGTCAGAGGCAGCTTGGGGGGGAGTTATAAAAATATTTAGGAACTGAATGCAGACTTGAGAGGGGGGGATTTCCTATGATGGACTATTCCTATTGTACGCTGCAATGCCTATACCAGCGTACAATAGCTGACTCAGGAATTCTGGGAGTTGAAGTCCATGAGTCATTAAAGAGCCAAGGTTGCCTACCCCTGACCTATACATTTCCCATTTACCAATTGTCATTCAGTTAGCCTGCATGACTGTTACTTCTTCTTCTTTAGAAGTCTAGCATTCTGGCTGCCAGCCCACCTGGTTGGATTTTCTCTGCTCTAATTACTTAGCTGTATTTAAATCTACGCCAGCTTTGATTTCCTAACATGCTGATAGTATTGAAAATGGGATACACAAAAACAATCTCTTTATAGCCAGCCAGATGATAATCCCAAGAGACCCAAGATCCAAAGGTAAAGACTAAATATGTCATACATACATACATACATACATACATTCATACATACATACATACATACATACATACATACATACATACATACATACATACCAGTTTTTAGACTCACATATTGGCCAATCCATTCTTGTTTATGTACGGATCAATTCCCCCCAACTCTGAGCAGTGGGACAAATATTTCCTTATCTAGCTCAGTATTCGTTCTCTGTATTGACTGGCCTTCCTATGTGTTCATGCTTGCTAAACAAGAGCTGACATTTTAAATGGGGAACAAGGACAGTCAACAGGAAAAATACAAAAGGCAATAATGCTTGTGTACATTTGCTCTCTAAGCATCAGACTACAATAATGTTTTCTACCCTCAAGTGCTGTTTGGTGGAAATCTTTCACTCATGTTATAATAATCCCTCTGTGTCACTGATCAGCCCAGTTCACCAGCCCGCTCTTCTGCCGATCAGTCTTCCATGATCTGATCCACTGGTCTCTATTCTCCTCCTCCATCCCTCTCTCCTTCCCTGCCCTCTTCTCTCCCTCTTTCAGTCCCCTCTGTCACCTTTGGCCCAGCTGCTCCCTCATCTCGGCATCCAATTTTTCATCCTTTTCAAGCAGCCAGCTGATTGAACACAGAATTAAAAAAAAACGGGGTCCGTGATGCTCTGTCTTCCTTTCCTCTCTCCTTTATTAGATGTTAATCCCTCAAACTTGGCACTGGTACCCCTTTGGCACTAATGAAGTTGTGTTTGTGTGTGTGTTTGTGTGTGTTTAATCAGCTGCCGCTCCACTTCTCTGCTGATTCCTATCCTCCAGGGACTGTGTCGCACCGGAGGGTGCCGAAGCTCTTTGCTGCCTGCTCATTTATCACCCTGCTTATGCCACCTCTCCAGTCAGCCCAGCCAGTGTAGAGAGATTCTGCCTGCTGAGCAGCTACGGAGAAGCATTTTTACAAGGTGCAGGGTGAACCCCTGGGAGTTGCTCTTTGCATCTATCTCTCTGCTGAAGATTCTCACATCTTGTCTATTAGCATCAGTTACATACCTTTTCCTTTCTTTTTTGAAAAGAGGATAGACCTCCAGTCCTCTGTTGGCGTGATGGTCCAGGAGTGATTTGGTCAAATGTTCCAGGATTGGTCTCCATCCATCAACCGAGGGATCTTGAATCATACCCTTGATACTTGTATTTGGGATCACTTCTGAAGCAACCTTCTTTTGGATCTGTTAAGGAAGGGGAATCAACAATTCCTGGATTTTGAGCATCCAACATTTTCTTCAAATGGGAATATTTGTGGCTGATAGTTTAAGTGGCATTGTGAGCTGTTGTTAATGGGTGATATTTTGTACTCTTTGCAATCCAGTCTTTCAGCTCCCCCAAGCAATAAAAAAACCTGATCCACTGGGTTCAAATTGCTTCTTTTTAGGGTTGTGAACTGCTGGACCTTTCTGACAGAATACCACTCCTTCAGATACACGTTTCCTCTCTTCCTGCATTTGTTTCCGTTATTCTTCAGCCCGAACACTGGATTTTTGACATTCCTTCTGGGCAGAAGTTTGAACTGGCAAAACTCCAAAGATTTGACACAGCCCGCTACATGCTTGTGGCTTGTAATTGTGATGAATAATTAAAAGAAGAAAAAGAGTTTGCAACCTTGTGGGAGAGAACTGTAAAAGAGCTGCCATGGATTTCAGAAAGACAATTTCTTCATTCAGAAGAGGAAGAGGACTGAGAAATAATTCTTAAAGTAGGATCAACAAAGCAACTTGTGAGCTGTTTCATCCCAAGGAGAGGCAGCGTTGTGGGTGCAGGGGCCAAGCAAGTCACTTGGTTCAGATAGACTGCACCCAAAGATCACATTTTGAATAGATTTAGCAAGCCCGATGGGCCCAACAGAGCTGGTGAAAAGCAAATTAGGGGAGATTTCAGAAAGTGAGGGGAGGCGTTTGAAATGATTAGGAGTTCCTAGTATTCTAGTTTTGGCTTCTTCACTGCAAGGCACAATAAACTGTGGAGAGCCTAAATGTCTATGGAGTCCCAAAGGTGCTTTTTCAAGAGGCAACTGGACTTTCTTGATTTTCTTTAAAGACATTTTGTTTCTCACCCAAGAAGCTTCTTCAGCTCTGACTGGATGGTGGGGAATGGAAGGATTTATATTCTTAGTGGAGTGTCTAGGAAGCTAGGCCACCTTAATGTTTTGCCTAGTTTCCACACTGTTGCTCCAGAGACAAAAAAAAAATGTGGTGGGAGATTAATTGATGTGGCAGACTGGCTAGTTGTTCACCTTGAAGACTATTAGCTTCTGATCAGGGGTCTCCAAGGTAGCATTTTAGAGTCAGGTAAGGCCTCTGGAAGTTTCTAGGACTTTTCGTAATAGCAAAGATAAATTTTGCAGTAGTATGTTGTGTAAGAAGCTGATCTCTATAGCCTAAGAAGGATTTTTTTAACTCTTTGAAACTATATCAACCCCTCACAAGTGTACGGGTGGCAGATGGTGGTGGTAGAAGGTTGGAAAAAGATCTCCATAATTGGGAAAGCTTCATCAGCTCTTCAAAAAGAAGCTTTGCTAGTTACAGAAAAGAGATGAAAACCATCCAAAATGATGTGTAGATTCTATGACATGCCAAAAGACGTTTAGCATTTGCTTTAAATTTATTGATGGTCTTTACATTAGAAAGGGTTTAGGATTGTCTCTGCTTTTTAATCAGATTGAAAGGTTTTGTTCCTGTTAATAGGGGAGTAAATAGGAAGAAAAGGCTTGTCCAGAAGAAGATTTTTTTTTTAAAAAAAAATCTTTTTAAAGTATTCAGCACAAGCCATTTATCTTGCTGATAATATCCACAAACCTCATGTCATAACATAGAGAAGCTATATCAGACTTTTTGGGGGGCCGAGCGCAGAATTTTGTCACCTTCCATTTATAACCCATTTCCCCTTATTACCTTTCCTATCTTTTTTACCACAAACACATACACACCCTGAAATCTATTAAGGCATGAAGGATTAGCTGCATGGTATCTTTTGCTCAGTCACATTAGGAGCTGTCATCAGGGAGCATCTAGGATTGATGGCACCCATCTCTTTATTTGCTCATTCAATCTCATTGACATACACCCCTTGGAATGTAGGTGCAAACCGCATTTTTCCTTCTGATCCTAGATCCCACTTGTTCCTTGGAAAACTTCGGCTCCTATTCGTTATATCCTCAAGTAACCAGATCTAACTCCAAGTTCTGACATGCTTTTTTTCCCCCTTTAAGGTGAATGCTTTGTTGGACACAGCCTACTCTCTGCTTATAAAGATGAGAGAATGATGAAAATTGGAGAAGCAATTTGCCCACCGGATTCTTGTGCAGAATTATTCACTAAATCCAGAAGATGTCTGATCGATCCACCACTTAGAGTGACTTTGAACAATTGGGTTTGATCTCAAGGACCAACTCCGTCTCTTCCTGTAGCTCTGGGGAAATTGTAACGATGATTCAATTAAGCCGAAGAGCTCGCTCAATGCTTTCCTTGGGCCTCAACTGTCTTGCCCTCTGTTTTTCTGTGTCGGCTTTCAGCACCAGCTATTGGTGTGAAGGGACCCACAAAGTGGTGAAATCACCCTGCCTTTCAGTGGTCAAGAAAGGGAACTGTGCACCCAACAACAGCAACGGGACTGTGGATACAAATGAGACGGTGGATCCCCACAAAGTCCAGTACATCTGGGAGACGGGTGAAGACAAGTATGCTTTTCAGTATTTCCACACGGGTTTCTGGCTGTCGTGTGAAGAACATCATGGAGGTATTAAAGAGGGTAACCATCCCTGGGCAGTTGATTCCATGACTGTATTTGTAGTTAGACAAATAGAGTGGGAAAGAATTGGCTAGATAAGCAATGTAGACAGTGTTGTAGGAGAACTTCAAGGGGCTATAAAGGACCTTAACAAGCAGAGTTTTATAAGAAGGGACTAATATATCTGGCCAACCTATAAATAAGAGCACAGAGCTTTTTCCCAGCTACACCTTCTTACCTCTTTCTCTTATACTTTTGTCTGGGATCCTCTTTGTAAACGATTAGTGACAGAGTCTTGTCTTATTCTGTGTGATGTATAACCATCAACGGTAATAACGAATGGCACAGTAGAAAGTGAAATCTTAGTATTCATATCATCAGAAACCCTGGTGAGGCCCTTGGGCTAACTTATCTCATACAATTATTCTTTCTCAGCCTGATAACTTTGGAGGATTGTTGGAATAGAAAATGGGAACTGGGGAGGGAGAGACTTGTAAGAACTCACCTGAGCTTTTTGGAGGAAGGATGAGATAAATGCAACAGATAGTTATAAAACACTATTTGGCTACTACATCCAGGATTTTTTTCAGTGAATTGTTGGAATGAGGGTACTAGTACTATGGTTTCTTCTCTGGAACAAAGCGGGGAAAGATGCCACCAAAGTCCTTGGCATGCTCAACCCTCTGTGTGAAAATTGGAGGTGGGTTTTTTTCACCCTGAGTTTGCCCCCAATTGAGTTTTTTTGTACTTTTGCAAATCTTGGCACCTGTTCTCTCCCTCCTGTGTCTCAGAGCATGGCCGAACAGCTGCGTTCAAGTGCTTTCCGCAAGTCTGTGAGCCTGGAGAAACATATGCTGCATAAATGGGGTTCTATTCATTGCCAATCCCCATTCTGCCTCACTAATGAGACCTTAGGAGGGGCTGTCCGCATTGTTTTAATGTGGGGCGAGATAAAATCAGCAATTAATGGATATACCCTGGCCACCAATTCCGGATGATGGTGGTCCAGGCTGATACAACTTTCCTAGTGGAAAGAAGCAAATGCTGCTGTTGTCTCAGTTAGAAAGGTTTTGGAACACAGTGTCCATGGACCAGACCCAAGCTGACATCTCTGTACTGAGGTGCTGAGCTGATTACAACCCTTAGTGAGGTAGTTCTTGACTTATGACCAGAATCAAGCTTGGAATTATGATTGTGGCGGTCATTAAGTGGGTCATCAAGTGATTGTGCCCAATTTTACCATCTTTTTTTGCAGTGGTTGTTAGGTGAACACCATTGCCATTAAGTGAATGTGGCAGTTGTTAAGTAGATTTGTTTTCCCCAATGGGCTTCTTCTTTTTTTTTTTTTTGCCAGAAACTAAAAATACATGCCAGAAACTGGTAAAAACCCGCTGAAAATCGCAGTCACATTAGCACGGGAGACTGCAATGGTCATTGACAAGCCTCAAAATGTGGTTGTGTGACTACAAGGTATATGTGTGCAGCCGTCAGAACTTCGAAATTCGTTCATAAGTAGCTCTGGGGAAGCCCATCATAACTTTGAATAGTTGCTAAGCAACTGGTCATTTATTGAGGACTACCTGTACTTTGAACAGGACCAGACTTGAACACTAAAGACATGAATATAGAATAGAATAGAGCTGGAAGGGGCCTTGGAGGTCTTCTAGTCCAGCCCCCCGCTCAAGCAGGAGAAAAAAAATCTCTGAACTTTTTCCAAGGTCTCAACTTCTTTTTTGTAGTATGGTGACCAAAATTGACTGCAGTATTCCAGGTGTGGTCTCACTAGGGTTTTATAAAGCGATACTAATACTTCGCATGCTCTTGATTCTATGCCTCTGTTTATACAACCCAGGATTTTATTAGCTTTTTTGGCTGCTGCTGGCTCATAGTCAAGTGATCGTCCATTAGGACTCCAAAGTCCCTCTCACAGTTACTGTTTTTGAGCCATGAATATAAAATTACTATTGTTAGTAACTTCAGTAACAGAATCCTGCAAATCTGAATGGGTCTCTCCCCTCCCAGCCATCCTCCTAGGCAGGATCAAGTCTGATCAAATTGCAATCTTGCTTTGGAGTCAGATTTCTTTTATCTGACTGTTGCTTTGGCTGCAGCTCTTCCTCCTGTTCCTCAAGGTTATTCTCGCAGCCCATTACACCGCCTCACGTGAGGACACAACAGAAAGAAGAGGTTGCCATAGAAGTTTAGGTCGCAGTTAGATGCACGACATGAAAGGCTCTGTTCAAAGAATTGTCCCCTTTCAATTCTTCCAAATCTAAGGGCTGCCTTTGCCTTGACTGAAATCATTCTGAAGTAGAGATGGGAAAATAGTGTTCCCGTTTAGCTATTGCTGAAGTACAATTTTTGGAACCCCAGACGGTACAGAAACAACTTCTAGAGCAGAGGTCCCCAACCTTTTGGGCATCAGGGACCGGTTCTGTGGAGAAAGGTTTTTCTGCGGACCGGAGTGTGCGTGGTTTTGTGTGCTACCTTCATCTCCCAGATGGGGCTTTGCTTGTTTGTGTGGACCGGTTGCTGGTATGCCGTGGCCCGGTACTGGTCCACGGACCAGAGGTTGGGGACCCCTGTTCTAGAGTACTACAGGCTCTCTCTAATTTTGTTTAATTTACACAAAATAACTGTACAGTTTGGAAAAGAGAACCTTTGTTTCCATAGCACATTAAACTACAACTAGCCAGTAACATTTAAGCCTAGTGTGTTGAATAAATCTGGCAGTTCCATAATTTAATGTTTTGTACAAACTCAGAGAACATTCGTAGTTGGTTAAAAGAAGGTTAAATTAGCTGCAAATAAGCAATACTATTCAGAACTAATCACTAGAGATAGTCCTTTACTTACGACCATAATGGAGCCGGCCGATCATGGTCGTAAGTTACTACGTGACCAACCTGATTATATGCCATTTTTTCCAGTGGTCATTAAGCAAGTGTATTGGTCATAAAGCAAACCAATACTTTGCTATGGGCATGGGTTTGCCAAAAACTGGAAATAAAAGCATAACTGTCATAAAATGCAGTCATGTGACTGAGGAACGCTCAAATTGCTGTAAATGTTGCCCAGTTGCAAAGTTCCTGAAGTTTGATGATGTGACTGAGGGACAATCATCAAAATTGCAAATCTGGGTTGCAAGTTGCTCCAAGGTAGGTTCATAATTGCTTCGGCCAGTGCTATGTGTCCAGTCATAAGTCGAGGACTATCTGTAGCCAGTCAAATCCAATTTTAACTGAGGAAGTAGACTCCAATTTTACCTTTATTGGAGAATTCTTCGGGAAAGAATGCCATTTTTTTGAGCAATGTCTGAACACGGAGATGTTCACTAGCTGGATTTCTCAGCACAGATCCCAATATATTTCCTTCACGGCATTATGGAAAATGTACCTAGCACCACAGTCTCCTAATTATAATAAGAGGGGCCAGTGGCTGGACAAGATTGCCAGACAGGTTAGTGTGTGAATCAGAATTTAGAGTGCAGTTAGAGAAATGGAGAACTTTAAACTTCAAAACAACTTTGAAGTCATGGTTTAACCCAGGGGGTCTTCAAACTTGGCCCTTTGATGACTTGTGGACTTCAACTCCCAGAATTCCTCAGCCAGCATGCCTGGCTGAGGAATTCTGGGAGTTGAAGTTCACAAGTCATCAAAGGGCCAAGTTTGAAGACCCCTGGGTTAACCCTTCCCCAACCCAAAGGCCCTCCAACATCCAAAGCATGCCGCTGGATTTTGTGAGTTAGGGATTCTGGGAGTCTACTGTAGATGAGGAAAAATGATATTTGGACTAAAGCACTCTTTCTTTGGTCCCTTGCTATATCTCTTTGTCTTCTCAACCTGGTGCACTTTCTTGCTGAGATCAGCTCAGATCGACCTGCCACTAGTCAGCGGCAGAAACAGAAAAATCCCCTTTTCCTGGGGACAGGGGAGGGATGTTGGCATGAAGTCATTGCCACGTTCAGCAGCAGCTGTGGCTAAACTGTCATTGTCTTTTCTCACTGTTCCCCTCACGGCAGAGGAGAAGTGTCGGAGTTTCATTGAGCTGCCTCCAGAGTCAGAAAAAGGTGAGAATTTGGATGGCAAAATAGGCCAACTCACGCAAGTGCAAAATGAGTGGGAAGCAACTCCGTAAGTACAGCAAAGTTTATTTTTCTGAGGTAAAGTTTCAGCTGGCCAAATGTTGAGATAGAGATAGAGAAGCCTTGTGGCTACCAAAGTCTTTTCTCCCACCCTGCACCCAGTCAGTCCAAAGGCCTTCTTGTTATCATTTTTTCCCAGTCCTTCCCAGCTGGGCTTTTGAATTTTATAAGCAGAGCCATTGGGAAAGTTTCAGGCAGCCTCTGGGATAACAGAATAATTTAGCGGCTGTCATCAACTTCCTTCCTGGTAGCAAAGCAGCTTAGCCTCTTTCTTCCCCATAAGCTCTTTCTTTTTCCTGCAGGAGTGCTGTGGCTCTCAGTTGCTTCCGAATTTCTTTATATCATCCTGTTGAGTATTGGATTCTTGCTGATGTGTTTGGATGCTATCTACTATGCCAACTTCATTGACGGTCTCAAGATCAATGCTTTCGCAGCTGTGATCACTGTTTTGTCAGGTATCGCCCCTTGCCCTCCTGTCCATCTCTTTATTCTGTGTAGACAGAAATGTCTCTGAGATAGTGCCGATGTAGATTTCCCAATCTTGGCCATTTTCAGAGAGGTAAATTTCAACTCCCAGAATTCTTAGCAATGTGGTCAGGCTGACCAGGGAATCCCAATTAATGCCCAAGGTGGAAAAAAGAGGGTTATAAAACTGGGTGCGATTCACTTAACGATTGCTTTGCTTAGTGATGGAAATTCTGGTCAGAATTATAATTGTAAGTTTAAGACTAGCTGTATGTTCCCGTCATTCTTTTCCCTTCTCTTTATAGAGTATGTACTGGGGTGAGCTTTACTCTTAGATTTTGTTGAATCAACCCACAATTTGCATATCTGTGTGTATGGGTGTTTATATGCTTGCCTGCTTAGGCTATTGATTGCTACATGGAACATTTCCAGGGTGCCAAAGAATTATGGCTTGAATGGGTTTATTGACCTCTTCTTCTCCACAGGTCTCCTGGGCATGGTGGCCCACATGATGTACATGACTGTCTTTCAGGTGGCTGTAAACTTGGGGCCAAAGGATTGGAGGCCCCAGACATGGTATTATGGATGGTCCTTTGGGTGAGTAGCCAGCTTTGAGGAGTGTGAGACTGAGAGGATCTTTCCCCTTTAGAGTTTACCACCTTGTTTTGTAATTCTTTGGACCAGGTCAGAATGGAAGAAAAGAGAGGATTTGATCAAAGTAGAAAAAAAAGAGGGAAGGAAGAGATTCAGAGGTGTCTAAGAATGGTTATACAGTCCCGAGATGTGGCTGGTAGTAAATTCCTGTGACAAACAGCATGAGATTCTGATCTACCAAAATGTACAGTCTGTTCATTTTTGATGACAATAGCACAGTGGATGGTAAAACAAAGAGCGTAAATCTGAATGAGTAAAAACAACAAAATATAAAAACCTGAATCTCAAGAGATATTTTAGAGGAAGCTGTCTAATAACTCAAGATGCCTGGTTTTCTTACTTATAAAACTAGCAAAAAAGGACCGTGAAAAAGAAGAATGATTCTAAAACACTGAGATGTGGGTGTCCATGGGTAGAGGGTTCAAAACAGTCAAGAAGATAGCCGTGATGGAATGATTGAATCCCCGTTCCTTTTACGCGTGCCAAGCATGTGTTGTACATAACAAAGAGATGGGATTTTAATTGCCCAATATCAACTGCTCTCTTGACTGTCTCAGATACCTCTGCAACCAAGCATGTTTAAGATTCATGGATCAAAGCTTCTGCTTGTATTTATAATAGAGGAGACATTGACCTTAGCCTTAATATTGAGATTCTGGAGATGAGGGAACTTTGTGGATGAAAGAAGCAGTGCATCTGAGTGGGTGGATAAATGTTTGGGAATAGTGATGGACAATTGAGGAAGACATCAGTGTATCAGGGGCCAAGGGATTCAAGTTGTGTTCTCTCCTCCTTTGCTCACCTGTCCTGATGTTCTCCCCACAGCTTGGCCTGGCTCTCTTTCACTCTCTGCATGTCAGCCTCGGTGCTGACCCTCAACACTTACACCAAGACTATTCTGGAGTTCAAGTACCGTCGGCAGATTTTTGAGAAATACACGGCGTCAACGGGGAGCATTCGAGGTTCCAACTCGCCAGCGCTGTCCCCTGACCTGGAGCGCTTTCTGTGGGAGAAATATATCTTCAGTGTCAGTGAATCCCTAGACTTCTCTGCAAGTCCAACCGGCCGCTTAGCTCTCAGTGGAGGCCGAAAAGAGTGCTTAGGAGGATATGCTGGACTCCCAAGGAGTCACAGTGGAGATACCAAGGATGGGGATGATGGGGAACCTTGCTGAGGAGAGGAGGCTGTGTAGAAAAAGAGAGCCTTGTCCACCATTTCTCTTCTCCCTCTCACATTCACTCCCTTGAGCACCTAATTTTAATGATGTTTTCTTCTCTCTCCTGTTGAAGCTCTTTCACAGCTTGGAGACAACCTCATCATTGAGGACCTGTTTTAAAGAAGATTTTTACCCCATGTTTTTTTTTTCCATATACGGTACCACTCAAGGTGGAAAACATATCAATATTCCTTACTATTTCCCCCACAACAACAACTGTGTGGGATGAATTGGGATGAGAAAAAGACTGGCCCAAAATCACCCAGCTGTTTTTACATGTTTAAGGCGGGATTAGAAATCATCTGCTGATTGGCCCAAAATCATCCAGACCATGTTCATGCTTAAGGTGGGACTAGAACTCACCATCGCCTGTTGATTGACCCAAAGCTACCCAGACGGCATTCATGCCTAAGGGGGGGGGGACTAGAATTCACCGTCTCCTGGTGATTGGGCTAAAGTCACTCAGCTGGCTTTCCTGCCTAAAGGGGGTCTAGAACTCACCATTTTCTTGAGATCTGCAGATTTAAAAAGACAAATTGCCAGATCCAGGGATCCAATCTCCCTGTCAGAACAGTTACAGACCATAAAGGAAGCTTTATTAATTTGGGTTGTGATGGGTGTTGAATGTCTCATGTCAAGGCAATTCAGCTGCAAATGGATTTTGGAGATCGACCTTCCTGACTGATCTTAGGCACTGAATTATAGAAAACTTTGCCAAAATAAAAGAGAGCCATCTTACCGACTAGTTAGGTTTTGGCAGAACTTTTTCCCGATTCCTGAAAGATGGTGGCTCATTTGAACAAGTGCCACTAAACTTTTCTGCTCCAAATATCAGAAGGTCTGTTTATCTTTGTATCCTCTGTAATATTATCTCTTTGCCTGTCGGCCAAAAGATTTTCAAGTCATCAAGAGATGATGGAAAATTACTAATGGAACAGCTCATTACACTGTAACCATTAATTAAGTAATTAATCTCACCAACAACTATCTGTAAAGTTCAAGACATCATCAAAAAAGCCAACACAGTGCTGGGCTGCATTAACAGAGGGATAGAATCAAGATCACGTGAAGTATTAATACCACTTTACAATGCCTTGGTAAGGCCACACTTGGAATACTGCATCCAGTTTTATTCACTACGATGTAAAAAAGATGCTGAGACTCTAGAAAGAGTACAGAGAAGAGCAATAAAGATGATTAGAGGACTGGAGGCTAAAACATAAGGAATGGTTGCTGGAATTGGGTATGTCTAGTTTAACGAAGAGAAGGACGAGGGGGGACATGATAGCAGTGTTCCAATATCTCAGGGGCTGCCACAAAGAAGAGGGAGTCAAGCTATTTTCCAAGGCTCCTGAAGGCAGGACAAGAAGCAACGGATGGAAACTAATCAAGGAGAGAAGCAACCTAGAACTAAGGAGAAACTTCGTGACAGAACAATTAACCAGTGGAACAACCTGCCTCCAGAAGTGGTGAATGCTCCAACACTGGAAGTTTTTAAGAAGAGATTGGACAGCCATTTGTCCGAAATGGTGTAGGGTTTCCTGCCTGAGCAGGGGGTTGGACTCGATGACCTCTAAGGTCCCTTCCAACTTTATTATTATTATTATTATTATTATTATTATTATTATTATTATTATCATCATCATCATCATCATCATCATCATCATCATCATCATCATCATCCAAGCATTGATTGGAATCAAAATGCCCATATTATTATCATTTCCATTCTCATTTCTAAATGTTTTCTTAGAAACTTCATTAAGTCATACATATTTGTCTGGGGAGATCTTTCTAAAGAGGTAGGGAGACTATTGAAAAAAATATCCCACCCAGTCAAAAAGGATCATGAGGTATCTCTCCCCATACCCTGCCTCCAACTGTACAATGCAGTGTTCTGTTGGATCATCACACCCCAGGGCTGCTATGGACTCTTAGAGCCTTTATTTTTCTTGTGGCTTCTGAGGGCCAATTTGGTCAAAGCCCCCTGCAACTCATCCCCTTGGCTTTCTTTTGATCATCTTACTTAGATATTGGGGTTTTCACTTACATTGATGGACACAGTAGACCTCAGAGGAAGTAGATCCCCAATAGATCTCTTTCCATTTGGTATATTTCAACTTCTTATGGGAAAACCCTCATCTGTCCAGGATGAGTTGGCTTGTATGACGTCTAATATATTTTCTTTTTTTCCAAGATCCTCTCCAAGAATGCAGGAGTAGTTCAAATGAGTGTGAAAAGTCATTGTTTATGTTCATCTATACCAACACACACACACACACACACCTGCCTTCTGCTTTCTCCTATTTGGAGGCTGGTTCAGTAGCACAATAGGGGGACTCCCACACCTTGCTCTGTCATCATGACTGGTTTGTGGTGTGTTTGGTAATTAGAGCACATTGGAGAACGTGTGTGCCAAAATTCAGCTTTCACTGTTGTAGAATTACTCCCGTGGGACATGAAACATCAAAAGATGCTCAATTATCTTTAGAGATGTGTGTGCATAGTATGGTTGTTTGAGTAATAGAGTAGGTATAGCTTCCCCCCATTATTCCAAGTAATGACTTAGCCATTTGGATCAGATATATTCTGCCCTGCAATTTCACCCTTCTCCCCCCCCCCATTTTTTTCATGCCACATTAATTCTGCTCTCTTCCCCCCACCACCTCCCTCCCTCCTTCTGTCCCTCCACCTCCAATATCCCCGCCCTCCCCCGAAACCCATTTGTAGCTGTCTGGTTAATCTGATCTGCTGTAGCATCATGCAATTTTCTCATCTGTAGGGAATGATGGAAGAGCAAGAGTCATTAATTTCTGGTTGATTAAAGAAATTAAGGAATTAATCAGTGTCAGTCTGCTTCATTTCACAAGTGGGGGAGGGAGGAGGAACTTTCCAGCTGCTCCTCATTTCTCTGCTTAAGAGAGGAAAGAAAATCAAGCAGGGGGATCGGAAGTATGAAGCCCACCACAGCAGCTTACGGTAGGATCCCCTGGGAGAGCCATGTGTGATCTCATAGGTGGGCAAGCAGATTTCCAACTGTCTTAATAGGAACCATTTAAAAACCTCCTGTCTTCCTCTTCATAAATTACACTGCTGAGAAAGAACAATTGAGCAGAAGCTAGGAATTGAACCTCTGTTCCTAGGAGCAGAGAATTTAGCTCCAGTTCTAATCCTGATCTCAAGGAACTTAATCCTTTACCTCTTGTCCAGTTGTAATTCTGAACTGTAATTGGTGCACCTGAGTAATCCAATACATCAAAACAGAATCAATCTAGTGGTTTGTCCTCTGAGAATTCAACTGGGAACCGGGGGGGTGGGGGGTGGAATTCCTTACTCTCTAAATCCTAACAGTTTGGTTTAGAAAAGAGAAGTCCCAGTTCCAGAATGGGCCTGGTTCATGCTTAATTCAAGCATTACCTTTAAAGGTTTGGAGGAAAGAATGTCATCTACATCGGGGGTCCCCAACCTTCAGTCCGTGGACTGGCCCCGGGCTGCGGCATGCCAGAAACCGGGCCGTGCAAAGCATAGCTCCATCCGTGGGATGTGAGCAGTTCATGAAACCACATCCCCTCCGGTCCGCAGGAAAACCTCTCTCCAGGGAACCGGTCCCTGGTGCTCAAAAGGTTGGGGACCTCTGGTCTACATGCCTTGTAGAGCTATTACTAGAGAAACACTGGGCTGTGGTCAGTTCCTGAAAAGGCTGCTATATTGAAGAATATATATGAATAATAGCATAGTATATAACAATTATATGCTATCATTGTATATTATATGTGAATAATAGCAACATATAAGAATAATGCATAGTAAATTGCATCCTGAGAGGTATAGGTTATCTGAGACTGTTTGTTGCATCCAAATCAATGCAGCCTGAAGACCAGATTGATTGGTCTTCACTTCCTGTGATCTTCAGGTAATACAGCGTTTCTTTATTTAGCCTTCAAGTCAGTGCTGACTTCTAGACGACTTCTGTGCAACTTTCTTGGCAAGATTTTTGGAAGTGTTTGCCCTTGCCTTCTTCCTAGGACTGAGTAAGAGGGGGAGTTTTTTTCCTTCAGATGAAGAGTCTACCTTTTTGGGAGGGGGAAACCAAGCGAGTGTTGATCCATCATTGCTACAACAATTGACCAACTGGCTTGTCACCCAAGCCTGACATCTTGGTCTGAGAGAGTGACTGGCTCAAAGTTACCCAACTGGCTTTCATACTTAGGTGGAACTAGAACTCACAGTCTCCTGGTTTCTAGCCTGGTGATTTAACTGCTGGACCAAACCTAGGGCTGAGCAAGAGTGACTGAGTCAAAGCCATCCAGTTGAATTTGTATCCATGGTGGGACTAGGCTTCACATTCTTCCAGTTTCTAGCCTTGATCCTTAACTGGCTCTCAGTACAATCATTGGGAGCAAGTAAATCTTAAAGGCAAGGGAAGATCTTGGCCACACTCTAGTCCAGGAATCCATAGGAGGGCAGATCTAAAGATAATGGACAAGACACCCTTTCTAACTTCAGCAGTGATTCACTGTAGGACATCAAATTCTGGGATTCAGGGAAGAACCATTCAACAAGTAGATAGATTAAAAACAGCTGTTTCACCCCAAATCAATAGCCCTTTGCCTCCAGGTAAGCATTTTCAGTTTATAAGGACTGATGCACCACTAGAGGATCAATGGGAGAGGTCAAAACAAAATTGGCGGAGGGCTTCTGTGTGGTCTCATAAACAGCCCATCCCATAACCAGGAAGGTGCCCAGAGCAGCAGAAGCAGTGATGGCGAACCTTTTAGAGACCGAGTGCCCAACCCCCCTGTTCCCGCTCCGCCGTGCCTGCTGGACCACCCACCACCTCCATGGCCCGCCATAGATCACCCAGGCAGCCCAGCAGCTCCATGGTGTCCACGCCCTCCACCCGCGCCCTGCAGCATCATCTGCATATGATGGGGTGCAAGGGCGGAGTCTTGTCCCCA